TCTAGAGAGAGAAAGCCACATTGGGGGCTGCATCGCTAAATGGACATTATTATATACGCTGGTGCAAGTTAATTAGACCAAAGGTACCTCCAGACAGCTCAAAAACAGACCCTCTGCAACATTCTTTCTAATTAACTTACTGAGGTGCTGTGTATAAGCTTAAGACCAACTTTATTTCAATAAGGATTTAAACAATAATATGATGTTAACGTTTATAACGTTTCCTGATATTTTCTATTACTGTACATTTGATCACTACAAGATGACCAAATAGTAATTTAAAATCAGCCCCCTTACTGTATATCTGCTAGCTACTAGCTCCATAGTCTTAATAAACCATAAGCTAAAAGGATCCCTACCCATGTTACTTCCTAATGAACAGTCACAGAATGTTAAGAATCAATCATCTAAATGGTCATTAATTTCTGATCATTCAAATCATTTAATCAAACATTATTTACCTCTTCAATTTTAATTTTAAACGGGTTTTTGAAGACGCTCAATTAAAAGAAAAAAAAAAAAAAGCAAATTGGACCTCATTCCTAACTCTTAAAGATAAACTTTGGTTCTCAAATATAAAATCCATGCCGCATTGTGATACCATTACATTGTTTAATTGATAAGGGTTTTCAACCATTTTTATTTGCCTTTTCCATATGCATACATAGTTTAGTTGAGGTTTCTTCTCCAGTAGAAGGTGCTTGTGTCCCAGCCATTTTTGTCTGGCTCCAGTGCAGAAGCATGTGTGCTCTTTAATAGCTGTAAGCTACTTATTAAAGTTTTCATTGTAGTTTCATCCAGCCAGTGTACTATTAAATTATTAAATGTGAACATCTTGACTAAAAGTCCTTGCATTTTTAAGGCCGAATGCGAATTACAGTTACATTTAACAGTCCATTGGTTTATCTCAAATTAGGTAAACATGTACTAAACTTAGAGTTTAGTTTAGTTAATGTAAGATTGTCTTTGTTTAGGAAAACATAAAAACCTTTATTCGTAATTTGCTGTTTCCTGGTTGTGTTCAGTTTTGAAGATCAGGTTAAACAGGTTCTATGTGTGAAACACTTGGCTGCTTTTCTTTAGTCTGTATTCTCAATTTTATTTCAAACTAACTTGATGCTTTTCTCATGAATGTAGTTTACGTCCTACTTTACTCCTGCTCTAAAGATTTACTTATTTTCCTTTCCTATGCTGTATATAGTTTTGCTGAAATATGAGTGTAGGATATTGTTTTGCCGTTTGCTGGTAACCTAACAAACAGTGATGATCACCTGTTTCCTAAAATATTTATGGGTGCTGCTTTTGAAGAAATATGTGTAATGAATTGATAGACTCACAAGATATGCATTTGGTACTTTTTAATAAACCTTGACAATGAAAAGCAGGCACAAAAAAGCTCCTTCCTACTATAATAATGCAAAAACTTTAATAAAAACAGCGTATTTCATCATATAGCTTATTAAAACCAACTTTACTGTTTACTGTAGGTTCTTAAAAATGTAGTTTACTCTGATTACAAAGTTTGGCAAGGAATTTAGTTAAACTTAACTAAAATTGGGATCCCTTGTTAAAACAACATGTATTAACTGTCACAGGTCACATCACTGTGAATATTTAAATACCAAACTGTTAATTTTAAACAAGGTTTTAGATCTTGTAGTGATCACTTTATGAGTTATTTCAGGTGATATCTTATTTTTTTTTATTTAACCTTTATTTAACCAGGAAAAAAATCCCATTGAGATTAAAAACCTCTTTTTCAAGAGAGTCCTGGCCAAGAGGCAGCAAAGTTACATAAGATACATTAAGCATAGATACATCAAAAATAAATGACAGGTAGGCCTACATAAAAAAAAAAGAACATATCAAGTAAAACAATTACAGATCATTGAGGCTGCTTCAAATTTTTTCACTTTTAACTTAAAAGCATTTAAAGATAAAAACTCAGTCAACTTCCAGTTTCTTTGTAAAAAATTCCACGCACAAGGAGCTGTGTCGCTAAAGGCTTTCTTCCCTAGTTCTGTGCGGGCAAAAGGAACAGTGACCAACAGCTGATCGTTGGATCAAAAAGTTCCAACTTTAGCAATTGGCAAATTGGTAAAACTTAAGTTTTTTTAGCTTCCAGTCATCATAGTTATAGTTAATCAAAAATGTAAATAAAACAAGGATTTTTATATTCAAACTCACCTACAGCTTCGAAGCGTTCTCATCCAGTTGCACAGTTTTTTTGCTGAAGTCACTGTTTTTATCAACTTTATCACTTTGTCATATACCAAGTCCTGAAGAACCAGTCTGTCTTCATATGTTTCCCATCTGTTCAGGCCTATTCATACTGTAACACTTCCCCCTGCAGTACATGTTTACTGAGGATAGGGGTTTGACAAGACATTATTGTGTGATGTATTTAGATCTAAACATTTTTGGTTGTACATTTTTTACCATATATAAAACAAAGATTGTGTGTTGAGTAAGTAAAGTTTATGAACCATTTCAAGCATATGTTGCTCAGATCCAGTCAGTTTCACCTACATTGAATGTATGGTTGATACAAACCAAACACCTTCATTTTTAAACCAAGATTAAAACATTAGACTAAACTATTGATTAAGATCAGCAAATCTGCTGAACATAATGAATTACAGTTGATGAACGAACCAGCAATTGATTACAGGACGCTTCTATTTCTCTGTTTTAAAGCATATTGCCCCTTACTGTTAACATAAAAATATCTGAGACTAACTTAAGTAAACCCCAGAATGTTAGAGTTAAAATACTGCATGTGTCTGTCACAAAATAATAGTCTCACATTTTCATATTCATGTTTATTAAAAGCATTTTCTTCTAAATATTTCCTGACACTAAAGTATTTGTTTTAAATCCAACGCTGCCAGCAAATGCAACCTCTCCAGTACCTCTCCTCTCCTCTCCTTGCTT